AAAAAGAATTAAAAAGAATGAAGACAATGTACAGGACACAGGGAACACCACCAAGTGGAGAGATATTTTATTCTGGTAGTGCTAGAAGAAGGGTCAGAAGAAAGGAAAAAAAGCTCTCTTAATAAAATAATTGCAAAAAAATTACAACATCATTGGATACATGAAGCTCAAAGGTTCCCCAACTGAGACCCCCTCTGAGACACATTTTGACCAAGCGGAGTTCAGAAACAAAGAAAGGTTGTTTAAAAAAAAAAGAAAGAAAAGAAAGAAGGAAGGAAGGAAGGAAAGAAAGAAAGAAAGAAAGAAAGAAAGAAAGAAAGAAAGAAAGAAAGTTGTGTCAAGTCATTTATAAGGGGGTCCCCTAGGCCACCAGACAATGGAATAATATATTTAAAGAGCTAGAAAGAAAAAAAAAGAAAAAAAAAACTACTTGCCAAAAATGATAGCTGTAGCAAGCAAGGTAATTCTTCAAAAATGAAGGAGAAATAAAATCTTTCACAAACAAGCAAAAGCTGAAGGAAATCATCACTGCCTTACAACAAATGCTTATAGGATTTCTTCAAGTAAAAATGAAAGGATGATAATTACTATTATTAATGTATATGAAAATATAAAACTTACTGATAGACATAAATAGACTGTCAAATACAGAACAATCCAATACTGTAACTGTGATGTTTAAATCATACATATTCTAGTTTAAAGATTAAAAGGAAGAGTTGAAAATAACCAAGACTTCACTTAGTTATTACCAAATTCACAATATAAAAATAAAAACTGTGTGTATGGTGTAAGAGTTCAGAGTTTTTATAAGCAATAAGCTGTTGTTTTCAACTTCAAGTGGTAGATTATAACTGACAGATGTTTTTTATAAGCTTCATGGTAACCACAAAGCCAAAAATAGCAGATACACAAATGATAAAGGGGAATCATGCTTAGAGATAAAGGAAATTATCACCATGGCGCACGAGAGAGGAAAAAAGGAGAGGCAAAGAAAGGGTAAACTAGTAAATTATTACCTATCAAAATAATCATAAATGCAAATAAATCTTATAATGGAAGAAGATATGATTGGCTGAATGGATTAAGAAAAAAACATGATTACATATTTCTGTAAAAGATAGACATAACCTGTAAAAGAACACATAAATACAAAGTGAAGAAAGTAGAAGGATATATTCCTTGCAAATAGTATCCAAAAGAGAGCAGAAGTGGCTATATTTATATACGACAAAATATACTCCACGTGTGAAGTTATCACATGAGACAAAGAAGTTCACTATTTAAGTATACATTAATTAAAGTTTTTAATTCATCAAGTGGACTTAACAATTATAAATGCACCAAATATTGGAGCTTGTGAATACATAAAGCAAACATCTATGGACATAAAGAAAGAGAGTAATATAATAATACCAGGGATAATTCATACTATATTGAATAATGGATATATCTAGATAGAAAATTAATAAGAAAATACAGAATTCAAATTGTCTTTCTGATCAAATGGACTTAATATATGCAGAAGTCTTCATCCAATAGCAGCAGAGCACACCTTTTCCACCAATGCACATGGAACATTCCCCAAGATAAATCATATGCCAGTCTATAAGACATGCTTTAACAAATTTAAAAGGATTAAAAATCATATCTGCAATCATGTCAGACCAAAATGCTATAAAAGCAGATATACTAACAGGACAATCTTTGGGAAATTATCCAATATTAGGACGCTAAATGACATGCCCAAGAACATCCAATGTGCCAAAGAAGAAATAAAAAGAAAAACAGAAAATTATCTTGAGACATATAACAATGAAAGCATAGCATACTCAAACTTGTGAGATGCAGCAAAAACCATGATAAGGAGTAATTTTATAGGAATAAATGCCTTTATTCAAAAGAAGAGACCCTAAATAAATAGTTTATCATTATGCTTCAAGAAACTAAAATAATTAGAGCAAACTAAATGCAAAATTAGTTGAAAGAAGAAGATAATGACATTTTGAATATAAATAAACCAAATAGAGGACAGAAAACTCATAGGAAGAAACAATCCAATTAATCAATCCAAACTGTCAACTCCTTAATTAATTAGTCTAACTATGAAAAAAGATTCAAATAAGTAAATTAAAAAATGAAAGTGAAGAAATACACTCCTCAGAAATTAAATACATTGAAGAAAAGATAAATTAGTGGAAACATGTTCAATACTCCTGAACGAGAATTAATATTATTCAATACTCATACTACACAAGGCCACATACATATTCAATGTAATCCTTAACAATTTCTGTTCGCATTCTTCACATTAAAAGGAAATATAATCTTAACTTTCATATGTAATAATAATAAATTCCAAATGATCTAAGTAATTATGATAAAAAAATCAGTGTTAGAGACCACACTCCTTGATTTTAAATTATATTACAAAGCCACTGTCATTGAAATAATACGGTATTGGTATGAAAAAAAAAAAAAAAAACAATTAGTCCAGTGGAACAGAAAAGAGAGACCAGAAGTAAGACCCAAAACACACATTGCCAACTAAGGTTTGACAAGGGCACACAAAAGGTACAATGAGCCAAGGATGATTTACCCAGTAAATGGTGCTAGGAAAATTGGATTCTCACATCTAAATCAATCAATCAATAAAATTGGTTCCTTTCTTATACTATGCACAGAGCTCAACTCACAAATGCATAAAATATCTAAATATAAGACCAGAAAGTATCAAATGTGCAAAAGAGAACATAAGGGGAAGACTTCTGGATATTGGCCATGGTGATTTTTAAAGATATTACATCAAAAATGCAGACCACAAAAGTCAAAATCAATGAAGGGGACCACAAAAAACTAAAGCTTCTCCACAGTAAAGGAAGCAATCAACAAAATTAAATGGCAAGCTATGGATTGGGAAGGAATGTTTCTATAGCCGGTATCTAAGAAGGGGCTAATATGAAGCATTTGTAAAGAAATCATACAGGTCAACATTACAAACAAACAACAAAAAAAAAAGGAAACATTGGTAAAATAAGCCACTGTAGATCCCTACACTAAGTGAAATTAGTCAGACACAGAAAGACAAATAACCATGTATTCTGTCTACCTTAGAAGAATGGAACAGTGGTCACTAGAGACTGAGAAGCCAAAGCTGAGAGGGATGGAAGGAATGTAATCAAGGGGCAGCAAAACACAGTTGGAGACCAGAAATTAGCCTAACATATCTCAAAGAAAGGAAAAGTCTCAACACATAAAAGCAATTACAGTTTGAAGACACGGAGAGGCTTTATACCCTAATTTTACTATTACACATTGTGACATGCATTAAATTACCATTATATACCTCATAATTATGTATGAATAGCAAGTGTCAATAAAGAAAAATAAAATTTTAAAAAATGGGAAAAAACTTAAATAGTCATTTCTAGGAAAAGCCATAAAAATAGCTAGAAATATATGAAATAGTGCTCGACATCATTAATGATCAGAAACATGCAAATCAAAATCACTACAAAAGTTCACTTCATACCTATTAAGATGGCTATTATCAAATAGCCAAAATAAAACAAATAGTGAGGTATGGAAGAAAGGGCACTCTTTACATAGCTGGTGGCAACTGAGATTGGTACAGTCATTAAGTAGAATAGTATGGGTATCCAAAAAAAAAAAAAAGTAAAATTAGAACTACCTCATATCAATCTCACTTTGTGCATATAACTAAAAGTAATATAACCACTATCTGATAAAGATAGCTTCACTCCCATGTTTATCAACACCCAAGATGTGAAGAAACTCAAGTATCAACAATCTGTTGATACACAAATGGATAAAGAAACTGGCACATTTTTAAACTGGAATGTTATTTACCTCTGAAAAATGAGGTTCTGTGTGGTAAAGCATCAATGAGTTTAATGGATATTATGCTAAGTGAAAGACAGACTCAAAAAAATTCATGAGCAAACTTATATGTGGAATCTGAAATTAAAAAGTCCCAAAACAATGATTTAAATATGCAGAAATAGATAACAAGATAGTGTTTACCAAGGATAGGAAGTAGGCATAAATGGGGATATATAAATCAGAGGATACAAAGTAGCAAATATATAGAGTGGACAAGTCTAGGTCTCTAGTTAATAAAATCATAATGTATATCAGAATCATGATAAGTGAGTAGATTTTAGCTGACCTTGGTACAAAACCCTAAATAAATTGCTAAGCCACATTATAGATGTAAATTTTTCAATACATACGTGCATCTCCTATGTCAGGTTATAGACTTTAAAAATATCCAATAAAATAGTTTCTAAAAATAAAGAAACTGAAATTCTTTATTCTTTAATTTATTCCTATTTTAACTCATAAAAATTGCAGAAATCATTGGGAATTTTATAGAATTCTTAGACCTATTATTGCAATAATCTTGTATTTCACTTAAAAACATAATTGATTTGTGGTAACTGTAAGCTTTTTCAGATACTCAGAGAGTTAGTCAGATACTAACATAAAAAATACAAACAAGCTGTGCCTGATGGTGCACAGTACAATCCCAGTTATAAGGGAGGGATGTTACTGTAGGAGAATTGAAAGTTCAAGGCCAAGCGGGGCAGGTTGCAAGACCCTGTCTCAAAATAAATTTATGCATGAACTGCTGGTGTAGCTCCAGGACAGAGCTCTTGCCTAGCGTGTGCAAAGCCCTGGGTTTGATCCCAGCTAATTCAACTCTCTGCTTTTCCTGGATGGACTGCTACAAAGCATCTCTTTGTTCCATCTCCAACTGAGGAAGTACAATATATGATTGTGTGTTATTCTGCATAATTCTCTGTATATTTTTCTGCCTTCTGTATTTTCTGTATACATACACACTTTGTTTTCTTTGTCTCAATATTGTCTTTAATTTATATCTCTGGATTGCTCATTTTCAGAAAGTAACTATGAGCACCAGAACCACCATTTTCTGAGGAAGCACCATTAAAAGAACTACTACTTATTGCTCATACCTTGAGAACCTTGCACATAATCTCATAAACTGAGAATGTTTTCTCTGCTCGAGTCCAGTCCCAGGTAGTCACCTTTAAAATATGAGAAAAAAAAAGTCACTTTTTTTTAAAGAGAGCTTCTATTCCCTCTTTATTTAATTTGCACAAAATGGTCCATGATAAGTGAAACTTTCACAGATCTTTTAGCCTCTCTATTTAGGAAGTTGTTTTCAGAAGGTTTCCTTATATAATTTTGATTTATCACTACTCTCTTCCTTTTCCAAATAACTTTTTATGTTATATGCAACAATTTCCATTTACTCAAAGTTTTTCATCTTATCAATAATGTGTATATTCTCTACATTAAGTATTTATATTACACATATACAATTTTTTTCTTGGTTTGCCATCACCAAATTCAATTTTTAAAAGGCATGATTTATGTTAGAGGTTCTTTCAAGATGGCTTAGGATACTATGAAAACATCAGCACTAAGAAGAAATTGATATGCTTATTTATGTTTGACATAGATTTGTCTGTCTAATCATAAGATTATTCAGTTAGGATGGTAGCAAAAATATAAATGTTTGTGTGTGTGTGTGTTTCTGAACTTTGAATTTCATGGAGAAACATTCTAAATATTTGCATGTCACATTTGAGAATTCCCAGATACTCTGTATTATTTGATCTGAAAGTAATTGGGCTGGCATTTAGTATTTATATTCAATAAATATTTATTGAATGTCTCTTTTTCTATAAAGTACATGTTTCCAAAGCAATAGGTATTCCATACAATAGATATTCACACATATTTAGTATAAATCCCAGAGTATAGAATATAGATTATCAAAAATGCCATATATTTGATTTGGGAATATCTATAAAAACAAACTTTGACAGTCATAACTGATAGCTCACCAGAATTTATTTTGATTTTTTTTTTGTATTTTGATTTTTATCAAGGACAAAACATTCTAACTTAAACTTTTAACACTACAGAAGTTTCACTAAGTTGAGATAGACTAAGCACTGACTTGGACCATTCTGAGGTTTGCCCACTTTTACTTGTTAATAATAAATTGAAAACTTATTGTTAGTAAAACCCTGACTCAGCTTTGATAGATAATGTGTTCCTCCTACATGACTGTAACAATGTTTACCTTTGCATTTACAAAGTGCTTATTTGTTTATGCCAAGTATATTAAATGGGCTCTTTTTTAAAAGTCTCTTTGGGAATACAAGATTAATAATATGAGTGTTGGTTAATATATAAAGAACCTTTAAAATCACTTCACTTTCATTCATTTTTAATACATTAATTTTTTAAATGTGTGTTTGATAAACAAAATACAGTCAAATAGCTTGGAAATATATTTTAAAATGTTATTGATGCTTTATTGGATTTTTTAATCAGCATTAGGATTTTATTCATTATTTATCACATTTAATATGTAAACAGAGACATCTTTCAAATTTTTCAGGGTTTAGAAAACTAATATTTAATGCAATAATGTATATACTTAGCAGGCTATTTCAGGAACTTTTGGGTTGGTTTGTATTCTTTCCAGTATCTTATTTTCAAAATACACCAGTAGTATTTTACTTGGTATCATTCAGATGATGTCACTCTGTTGTGGCAAGATTGGGGAACCCATAATTTTGGATGAAGGCACTTACCGGAGGTGCTGGAAACTTGTACAGACATGAGCCCCTCAGAGCTAGAAAAGTCGGGGAGTACACACGGTCTTGGAGTGGGTCCTGCTCCCGTGCTTCACACCAGCCCATGTAGACAATCTACAAGGAAATTAAATACAAGTGACTGTCCAAAGAGCTCTTTGTATTCACCTTAAATAAGAGAATGTGGACCTTTGATGAGTTTATAATATCATCCCTTATCAAGTGCTTATTTATTCAAGAAAACCTGCCATGAATTATATATTCCACTTTTCTACCAGTTCCTACGATTAAAAAAAAAATTATTTCTAAGAGTCCATTGGCTCATTCATTGGTTTTACAATTAGTGTCATTTTATTGTATGCAAATGAGTTCTCAATTCAAAATAAGTGAGTCAAGGAGGAAAGTCAGAGATATACTGTGTCATGATACTGCAAGAAGGAGGCTTCACATGAGCCCTGTGGGAGGGATTCATTCTAATCATTGAGTTTAGATGAATACAGAATGTGTTAGCATTGTTCATACCTCAGATGGCACTGACATCAATCTTCACCTCTAACTCTTAAACATAGGTAGGTCAGTTTCCAAAAGAAAGTGGTGTGATATTGATCATTTTTATCTTTCCATTATTGAATTGTCATTGGCTCAAACAAATACCTACACATTTATTAAATAAATATTACATTACTGACAATGTGTTCATAAGACATTTTATTTGTCTTTCTTAGCACAACTCTATATGGGAAGTTATACTTCCCAGCACATATAATTCACTTTGTTTTGATGGTTGGTAGAGTTTATTCTTCTCACTAGAATTTCATTTTATGTTACAATACCTGTTATAATCAATAGGATATTAATTGAGAAATGTACAGTTGAGCTTAGTATATTGTGCTTCTCTCATTAGAACAGAAAATACATACAAAAGATAGAAAACAGCAGGTCAGAACGGAGCCCAATACACAGTGTGGAAACATGCCCAGCCAACTCCAGCCTACAGGATAACACCAAGCTATCAGTTATTCTATCCTGCCTACTTTTGGGATGGTATGTTATACAGTATTACTAATGATAACTGACTTACAACAAAGCTGAAATAAAATTTTTGTTTATTCATAGATTGCATCTTCTTTCCATTACATTGTATTTACTCTCTAAAATAACTGGATTTTCTAGTTACATAAGTCTGCATTATAATAAAACTCTGAAATATAAAATTCCTTACTTTACAAAGTAAGGAATTATTATATAAACCAAATAGCTTACAAAGGAAATAAAACCTGTTACAGTTACAATAGGAATTTAGTCCAAGACCCTCACATTTTAAATTTCATTATGTTTTCTAATAATTCTAATGCATGCTCTAAAATTTATTTTGTAATGAAGCTATTCATATGGTTCATAATAATATAATAAAAAACAGGTACAATAATTATTTATTGTGTATTACTTACACAGCATTTTGCATTACTTGCAAAAGGCATACTTATGGGATAACATCAGAATTTTAGAAGAGTAAACTTACTAGCTGACCATCCAATAAAGAAAAAAAAGACTAAACTAATTAATTAAATTAATATTTTAATATGTTAGACTAACAGTCATCATGAAAGATATGATTAATTTCCATTTCTGGTACTTGTGTATTAAGAGATTCAGATAACTCACCAACGAAAGTTGGTTTGGAAAATACTATGCTTAAAATGCTAGGTATTTTGTAATGAATTAAAATAAGGAGAAAAATTCCCAGTAATAGTAAGATTGAGAAAGATTAATCATGAATCCACACATGAGGTCAATTTTAACCATCTGGGCACTTTCAATATGGAAATATCACATAAGAGATGAAGCTGCCTTAGTCAACCTCATGAGCTGAGAGGTAAATTGTTAAAGTCTAGGGTTCTCCAGCTTTGTAGGCCTAAGCAAACACACCGTGCTTTAATTTGAGATCTAAATGCTAGCATCCTTACAACAATACCAAGGTAGAAGTCATAAACCATTGAAAAGACTAGGACCAGGTTCAAGGGACTCAGATAACCTGGAAAATGTCAAATTTGCAGAGGTTTGTGATGACCATCCTTCATCCTCCCAGCTCCCAACTAAAGAATTTGAATTCTTCTCAGGATGTTGATAGTATAATTATGTTTCAATATATTTTCATAAAAACTTTCCTGGAATATGACCAAGACCCCAAGAATATAAAGAAATAAAACATCGCAAAGGTCAGGTAGGAACAACCAGATATATAACAGCACCCAGTAATTTCAGATATTAGATTGTCTGTCATAGACAATCTAATATAGACAAGACAATCTAATTCAACTTAATTTTTCTTGCTATATGCAGGAAGATAAGATAGAAATTTGATCTTATACCAGAGAACATAGGAAAAAACAAGTTATAAAATATTCTAATTAGAAATCAGGAAAATGTATTGTAAATTTGGGATATATATATATATATATATATATATATATATATATATATAAATGATTAACAACAGATTAGAAGCAGATAAAGAAAGAATTAGTGAATTAAATGATAGCTTAGTAAAACATTTTTGGAACAATGACTTGGAGTGACAAAGTTTGGGAAAAAGAGAAAAGAGTAAGAGGGAAAAGTGTTACAATGAGAAATATGAATATTTGCAATATGAGTCTCAAGCAGAGAGAATTTAGAAAAGTGGATAAAAGTTAAGAAATGATGAGTGTTATAGTTTAAATATTAGGTGTCTCCCCAAAGTTCATCTGGGTGGTAGCTGTAGGCATAGGGTGTGGCTGGGGGAGGGAGGTCAACCAGGGCATGTCTTTGGGGTTTATATTTTGTGGTTGATGAGAAGAGTTCTTTTTCTGCTCCTTAGTGGCCATCTCCAAACCCACTGTCCTCTGCCACACCCTTCTGCTATGATGCTCTGCCTCTCCTCAAGGCCCAAGGAATGGAACTGGCTGCCTGTGCCTGAGAACTTCAAAGCCATGAGTCCCCAAATAGACTTTTTCTTCTCTAATTTTTCTTGTCAGGTCTTTTGGTCACAGCAATAAAAAAAAATCTCACTAAAATAATGAATATATATTCCCAAATATACAAAATGGGGTCAATCTACTGATAATGTAATCTGGCCTAGGCTCTTTATCATGAGTGTTCAGAAAATCAAAAACAAAGGACACATTAAAGTCAAGTCGAAATATTACCTTAAAGGAGAAATAAATAGTTGTATAAATGATTTCTCAAAAAAAAATCCAGAATATTATGGAACACAAACTTTTTAAAAAAAATATTTTAAAATTGTCAATGGATTTTTAAACTTTATTTATTTTTTTATATGTGGTGCAGAAGTGAGGATCGAACTCAGGGCTTCACACGTGCCAGACAAGTGCTCTACCACTGAGACACACTCCAGCCCTGGAACACAAACAATTCCAGTCCTAAAACACATCATAAATAGAATGTCTCCAAAGCTGGATTACTGTAGGCAAAACACTTTTCCCTGCTAGTTTTTCTAGTCTTGGCTCCCAAGATGTTGGCACACATAGCCACCTTGGCACAAACACCTTGTGGTATGTAAAAACTCAAATTTATCTTTATGTCTTCCTCTCCCTCTCTGCCATCAGCATAGACTTAACTCCCCTAAACTCAGACCTGTTGGGACCTGACTCCCAAAAATTGGTTTTGTCAGTGTGTTGGGGAATCTGGATTTTGCAGTGACATCACTGAGATATTGTCCCTCAGAAAACCAGCAGTTCATTTTCTAGATTATGAATTTTCAGATTAATAATTTTTGCCATTTTCATTTCATTTCCTGAAATGGTGGGCTTGTGAAAAGATGTTAAACAACTTCCAAATGTGAAATATCAACCCTCATTCTAAACTTTCACTATTCAGAGCATTGAATGAAGAATTCATTGGGTTTTATAATGGCTTTCTGATTTTGGTACTCTATTCATGAAGAGAATTTAAATGTTGTTGTATACTGTTAAAAATTGTCTGCCCATGTTCTGCCTTAAATACCATGATTATGTATGAAAAGTATCTTTAATAAAGCTGGATTCGGTTTGGTTTGGAAAGAAAGAAGAAGAAAAATGAAAGCAAATTTAGAGTTCTACACACAGCAAAATTATCTTTTAAAATAAAATTCAGACATTTATACTATGTGGAGTTAAAGTAATGAAAATCAATAGTGAAAGAATAATTATAGTAGATTCTTTAAAGAGGGAGATTTTTTTAAAAAATGCAGGAGAGAAGAAGGAGTTGAATGATTAATAATTTTTGTGTTGATTTATTATTGATTATAACAATATTGCTTATGACAAAAACAAAATATTCAAGAAGTTTTGTTGAGCTCATCTTATTTCCTTGACCTGTATTGGAAGATGATTTAAATATTTAACAACATATTTGGGTAGTCAAGGATTAATTTTAAAATCTCTAAAAAAAGTATTTCAATAAAAAGGTAATTGCCAAATTAGTTTCTTTGTGAAAAAGTATAGAAGAGTAAGTCAATAGTATTGAAAGTTTTTGGAGTAAGTACCCCTTAACATTCTTAAAACTTGTGGGGAGTATAAGGATTTTTTTTCAAAACAAAGTGGGTATATTTTTTTACTCTTTGCCATACTAAAATAAAACTAGTAGTTAAAGCATATGTTTTTCCATTAAAAAAATAAACCCATATATCTAATGCAGATGACATAGTTTATGAGGAAAAATTCTCAGAATAATTAGCAAAATAAGTGCATTGCTTACATTAATGTTTGCTTCAATAGAAAACAATTTCTTAGGTATGTGTGCAATTCAAATTTCTGGTGATAACAAATATCATTAAGGTTCTAGTACAAAAACACTCTACACTTCTGAGACAAAATACACATATCATCTACGTTATATGAAAATAATTTTGACATTGCAGGTAAAATACTGAAGAACTTCCAACAGTCCCTAAAATACATAATGGGAACCACTGTAATGTGAAAACTTCAGCCAATATTGTCATCTCTAGTGTAACTACAAAGGGAAGCACTTCTGTGAAAAGTGTAAGACATCCAAATGAACAGAGGGAAAAATACCACAAATATTAGACAATAGTAGTCAATCTAAAAGAAAGCAGAGGGGGTAAAAAGAAGCAGAAG